ATATTTTATCTAAATAAATTTACTCATTTTCAAATTCCTTTGTTAAAATAATAAATGCTTTATTAGTTTTGTATTTGTTGTTAATTTGTGATGGAGCGATAGAGTTGTATAGAGTAACTCCATTTCATAGTTTTATTTAACTCAATTCAACTTTGTTGATAGTGTTTATATATTTTTTGTCTCTAAAAATATAAAAAGTTTAACTTAAAAATATAAAATATAAGTCCTTAGTACAAGTCTAAACGGCTTATTACTTTAACTTGTTTAAATTTTTACGCAGCAAACATTTAAAAAAATCACGCTGCGATGTACCATCTAAACAATATTATATGCCAGTTGGCATCGCAACATGTGGATGCTATGTAAAAATCAGCATGAAAGTTAGCTAACAAAGCGGGCTAACGGATGGATTTTAACTGACAAAGTTAACAGAGCGATTAATAAACAGTCACTTAACGGAAGAATAAGAATACTATTTTTCTTCATCCGTTTCGTTACGGCCCGTTGACAATTTTTTTCTTAACGGTCAAATTGAACTCTACGTTAACTTAACAGAGACACGTGAATACGGCTGCCGCACATTGATTAAAATTATCAAATGAAAACTAAATGAATATGGCTACGAAAAAAATAAAAATAAATTTAAATACTGAATTATCTACTTAAGTTTTTATTCATCTAGAACTGAGCAACTACAATGTAAATTGGTTAAATTTACGTGAATGAGAATTATAGCCAAACTGCTGAAGTTTTTATTTGCGTAAAGCTTCAATCGACTTCAAACTAACAATATTGGTGAGATTGTGTAATTCATGAGTGTGTAATAGAATATACAAATATCTTGAAAAAAGTTTTATTTTTATCATAAACAAGTTGAATTTAATAAAAATTATTGCAACAAGCATGCAATAGTTGATTTGACTAACATAAGTTTAAAAGGATTTGACTCAGTTTTTGTAGATCTATCAAACGCATTCGACACTGACGATCATCATATCCTCCTCTTTAAATTGCAAAACAACGGAATTTTGAATTCGAATGGCTTCAGTCTTATTTTCTAATTTGTAAACAATGTGTAACGTATGACTTAACCAATACGCAGTTACAAATTGAAAATATTAAAATTTTCAATAAAGCATATATAGAAAATTTAAAAGGGAGAAAGTTATATGACTTTTATGGTGCTGCGGTCTCTAAATTATATTTATAAAAAAAAAAAAATTACCCGAATATAGAAGCTGATTTTAATGGATTTTAGTAACCAGTAGGTCAACAGTACAATTTTAGAAATTTTAAAAAGGATTTCTTTATTTTAAATTTATAAAGTAAAATGTATTTTTTTCCTTGCTTCATGTTTCTTTTTTAAATGATCATCAAACGTCATTTATTATAAAAATTAAAAAAAATTCATTTGTAACTAAACAGAATAAAGTTAGCAGGTCTAATTTTAGTTAAGTCTCCGATAAATAACTAAGATTGCTTTAAAATTTTAACCTGGAGTATTTTGCACTTTGTTTTTTTGTTATTTTTTGTAGTTGCAAAGTTGCTGCTAAATGTCTTAACGGTCAAGCGAGGTCGGAATTATTTATTTTTATCTCCACATTTTTTTGTGTTTTAAGATAAAATGAAATAAAAAATTACAACTTTCAGAGACAATAAAAGTTTTATTATTTATATTTTATCTGCATCTTTTTTGATAATAACTTAGGTTTAAATATAGTCGAAATACATTGTTTCGAATTATATGACACAATCATTAGTTTGAATTTATCATTAAGTGGAAATTTAAAATAAACAATTAAAACCTCGCAAATAGTGAAAAGCAGAAAAAACAAAAACAAACAGCTTAGTATACAAGCAGACCTTAAATAATTTATTTTTGTAAGTATATCTCAAGTTTTCTCATTTTTAATATCTATTTTGCAAGTTTTAAAACTTTTTGTTATAATTTACAATCTATGAAGTGAATTTATAACTTAGTATCATAAACTTTTACATAAATTAGTTAATAATTTTTCTTATTAGTTTACAATGTGCTCCAAGAAGTAGGGGAGAGTTGCCTTAATTGGAACAATTTAGGAATAAATGTTTATTATTTAAAGATGGCTTAACTATGAAAACATTATTGATTTGATTAATACAAACAGACATCAGTACTATACTTTTAACCATAATTTGACTTGATTGATTGCACTGTTATTGGAAGTAAATTTGTTTTTGCAAAGTTACCATTTTGTTTCAATTTCAAGGCAACTGATTCCCTAAATTGGATCACTTTGATTCCTTAATAAAATTAGGTTATGTTAAAAAAACAACTCAGTAAAATCAACAGAATTTTGGAGAAAATGATTTTCATCTTTACAATGAAAATTAAAATAGTTATTTGAAAACTTATTATAACCCTGACAAATTTAAAGTCTACAAACAAAAAATGTGTAAAGCTTTAACTGTTATGACGATCTTTTAATTTATTGATTAAAAGTCACTAAACAAAGTATTGTTTTTAAAGTTTATGGTTGTTACTAAATATTTTTTAAATTGCGCTAGAACTATTTTTACAACAATTTGATTGTATTATTGATTTAATAAGGAAAACTTCAATGTTCCAAACAAGGAACTTTTGACAATATTTTGACAATATTTTGTTTGACAATATTTTGTTATATCACTACAATAACATGCTTGCAGCAACTTAAAAGATAAGTTTATATTGTTATTTTGCATTTTAAATCCCATTGAATTAAACACAAAAAACGGTACAAACTATAGCACCATAGTTTACCCAGCGCAATAAATAAGTGAACTCAAAATTAGGTCACTGAAAAAAAATGACGCTAAGAAACTAAAAATCAATGGTGCAAACGCATTTTTATAAGAATAACTTTCAAAATGCGTCAAAACCTAGAAAATAATGCATTTTACAAAAAAGATGCAAAATATAGCCATAATTCCTTTTTTTTTTTTAAAAATAAATGCAAGTGTTCCAATTAAGGCGCTGTTCCAATTTCGACAACTCTCCCCTATTAACGGTCTAATCTAAGAATACTTAGAAATGACATTAAACCAGGAAGTTCACGCCTCCTTCAATATCATTGATGAACGAACATCTAATATTGAAACCAGAATTCAAAACACTACGCCACGAATGAATTGCTGCTGCATAGAACTATTTATACTGCTGAATCATCAATAACTTCAGTATCAGTTCGGTCTTAACTGCGGTAAAAATTAATGTAAATTTTCTCTTGTTTTCCTTTAATATGTTTTCCCGTCACACATGATAGACACAAAACTCTCTGTATAATGTTGTTTTTGACAGTGTTATTGCGTTAAAAAATTTTTTCAACGTAATGCCATTTTATTCATGAAGTTTCCTTAATTCGCAAGTTATATAAGTTCCTAATTCGTTGAAAAATATTTCAAACAATTCTTTATTTTTAATTTTTTTTTGATTAATAATATGGCCCAAACCTTGACCCTAGTTCTGTAGTTTTTAAACCTATGCTTATGTATCAAAGTGATTGAGTTGAGAAAAATGAAATTTTTAGTAACTGAAAAATGTCAGCTTATTTCTGATTCTGATGAATTTGTGATAATGATTGATAATATTGATTTTTTTTTCAGCAATGTATTAATATTATGGTGTAAAAATAAAAAAGTTAAATTACAAAAAAACGGTATGACTAGGTAAACTGTACTGATATTAAACTCAGTTATATCAGTTTACTGAGACGAAAACGATTAAGGCTAGATTTATTTTAGATATATATCACAAGTTTAAAATTTGTATAATGTGGTTGCACTTAAAAACAAATACTGCTGGTTATAAAACTAGCAAAATGTAATTTTGTAAAGCAAATTCATTTTATGTCAGGTGATGTATGACGTTATATTTTTACTTTCAGTATTCTTTACTATTATAAATTGGAAACCAAAAGTTTAAAGCTTTTAATCTTCTAGTCTTTTTACATTATTAAACTAATAATTTTGTTAAGTTCCTTTTTGTAAATATTCAAAAGTATTATGATTGAATAAAAAACTAAAGACGAACTATTTGTGTGTTATTATTGTAAATATAAAGTTTGACTTGGAAAAAGGGCGGATCAAGACCATATCGTAAGGGGAATGGGGGCGATTTATTTTATTTTTTTGATTTGGGGGGTGCAGACAATCTAGCAAGGTGGGGGAGGGCGTGTGGCGAGTTTCAGATATTATGAATTGTAAGCAAGCTATCACACAGTTTTGAGTTTTATTAAAATTGTAATTTTAATTAGAATACCTAACTATATTATTTCCGTTTGTAAACAACTTGCTGTGTTTAATATATAAACTTACAAAAATAAAATATTTCAAAACATTCTAAGGGGCAATTGCCCCCATCGCGCCCCTGTGGATCCGCCCTTGACTTGAAACTACTTAATTGCATGCTTTGTAACCTGCAAAATATTTTTGATAGACAGGTCTTGCTTAACTTTGCGTTGTGTCTGTTATTATAAATAATTGTTATTAAGTCTCGTTCATAAAATAATTGCTTAATTTAACTAATTTACTAACAGCCAAGACAAAACTATTTACACTAAGAGTATTTCAATTGTCTTAATAAAAGTAAAAAAAGTACTGTTTTGCATTAATAACTATATTTTTTTCATTTAAAAAAGAAATAATATTTATGCTTATTAAAAAATCCTTACGAAATGCATTTTTGATATGATTTAGTTATATACATTTTGAGACTTTTCTATATTTAACTTACTTCGATGTTTACATTAGATCACTATTTTCATAAAAGTTTTTAGAAAATCAGTTGATATTGCTACTGAGTTGATCAATTCATGGTAGTTATCTAATATTATGACACTTTAGCTAAACGGGGCACAATATTTACTTTCCTAATTTACATCACTGGATACGTCACTCATATTTATAAAATTCTTGTAAAAAATATATTTTGTATTCATTTGTATTATTCGTAAAATTGACATAAGGTTTTTTGATTTTAGTTTGTGAAGATTGCTTTGCGGAGCGAAATATAACGGGTTAGTATAAATTTGAAACCCAGTATTATATTAGATTGTTGTTTTCAAATTATAGACATTTATATAAAAATAATAAAAGAGAAGTTATAACATTTATAAGACAAAATAAAATTTAAATAACGTTTTTTAAACACACTCAATTATTAAAAATACGTTACTTTAAACATGTAGGTTTTCTATTGAGATTTTTTACTTTTAATACTATTTTTTGCTTTAAAAATTGTAATAAACGCAATTTCAGCAATTAACTAAAAACTCAGATATAAAACATACTTTGATAATCTAGGCCATTTTTAAAATTTTAATCTTAAAATTGGCCCTGCTTACCAAAAGAAATCTAGATAAAGAACAAAGTAAAAGTCTTTATAAGATTTAGATTCAGTCCCAGTGAAGGAAGCGATAATTGTCCATATTGAGAGAATAAAAAATAATCCTAGCTTTAAATCAAAGTTTACCTTTGATGAAATATAAGCACTTTTAGGTATATGCTTTTTTCATCGTCATTTTTTATTTGAACACGACATTTGTGAACTAGAAGATTCTGGACCTACTGATTTAGAACATATGGTAGTAGTTGCGGAGTGTTTTCTGCTGTTTCACCAAAGTAATGCTATTGCATACGTGATTTCTTAAAATATTAGATTAAAGTCATTTAAAATATATGCCAATGGCCACCATTCTCGCTTTAACTCTACTGTAGATGCGAAAAAAATTTTAATATTATTTAATAACCAACATAAAAACATTCAGTACACCATGAAGTCGAAAAATAAAATAGTACGCTAAACTTTCTTGACATTATTATTAATAACAATAAAACTAGTACGTACAATTTTAAAGTTTACCGTAAAGATGCCATAACTAACTTCCAAATCAAATCTAACCCATGCCGTGATCCAAAAATTATAAACGGAGTTTTCTAAGGACTTGTTCATAGGGCATAATTTTATTCTCTGATTATAGTATTGAACAAGATTTGTAGTTATGGTTAAAAAAATAGCCTGGCAAATATTATAAAAACCACTAATGAAAATTTACATAATAAAAACAATTTCATCAAAAAAAATTGTATCTTTATCGTGGATTCCAAGAATTACCCAAAATTAAAAAAAGTTTTTAACAAACCAGTTTACACAGCAGTCTATAAGTTCCCAAAAAGTTTATTTACCACAAAAAATAAACCTCCTCTTCCTATATATTCTAAGCCAAATGTGTACAAATTTAAATGCTCCTGCAAAAAATGTTTTATTGTTGAAACAAAAATAAAAATCTGATCTCACATTTACCAACATCAAATTAAAAAAAAAAAAAAAAAAAAAAAAAAACTAAGGAAAATGGCTAATCAGCCATAGCGAAGCATTCAAAACAATGTCATGGCAATTTCATATGGAGCAACAAATATATATTATAAGCATTGGTTAACAATTTCAACAGAAGAGTGAGACAAGCCTTAAAATACAACGCCATGAATGAGCACCTTCCAGAAAAACGAAATTTACGTAATAACTTCCTTTTGGAAAACAATGTTTCAGTATTTGAATAAAAAAAAACTATTGCACTGATTTTTTTTGTTTTTGTTCCAGTTTTTAACGGTTATATATATATATATATATATATATATATATATATATATATATATATATATATATATATATATATATATAACATTCCTATCACTCCAGCTTCTGTATCTAAAGTGATTTCCCGCTTAGACTCTTCTACAGCTTGCGGCCCGGACAACATACCTGTTATAGTCTTGCAGGAGTGTTTTCTTTTTTGAAAGGATAGCTGTCGTCTATCCTTTCAAAACTATTTAACAAGTGCTTATCAGAGTCTTGTTTTCCAGCCAGCTGGAAAGCAGCTTCTGTTATCCCTATTTTTAAAAACTCTGGAGAGCGATCCGATTCGTCTAACTACCGTCCCATTAGTCTTCTTCCTATCATATGCATGGTTTTTGAATCTTTAATAAACAAACACTTAATCTCGAATCTCATAACCTACTTTCTGATCTTCAATATAGATTTCGATCTTCTCGTTCTACGACTGATTTCCTATCAGTAAAAACCAATAGGTTTTATCGCGCATTAGATAAAGGTGGAGAGGTTAAGGCCATTGTTTTTGACATTTCTAAAGCGTTTGATAAAGTTTGGCATGCTGGTCTTTTCCATAAGCTTTCTTCTTACGGTGTATCTGGAAACATCTTTAAGATTAGTGAATCCTTTCTTTCCAATCGTAGTATAAAAGTTGTCCGTGATGGACAGCACTCTTCTTCTTATTCTGTAACCTCAGGGGTTCCCCAAGGTTCAATCCTTGGCTCTATATATATATATATATATATATATATATATATATATATATATATATATATATATATATATATATATATATATATATATATATATATATATATATATATATATATATATATATATATATATATATATATATATATATATATATATATATATATATTAATATATATATAAATGCATATATATTTGTGGCAGAGGTTGAAGGTTGGCTGCAAGAGCAGGTCCAACTATGTTTACAATTCGTTTTTTTACCTTGCCTAAAAGAGAAAGGGCATCATTAGAAGATCCGCCCCAGATATGGCAACAGTGTTCCATATATGGCCGGATTTGAGATTTAAAGAGATAGATAATAGAATCCAGAGTAAGAAAGTGACAAACTCGATAAATAGAAGCAACTTTAGCAGATGCTAATTTTGCAGCGGATTTGATATAAGGTTTCCAAGAAAGATCAGAAGTAAGAGTTATGCGATAACGATTGGCCAAAAAAAATTGAGTTTTATCTGAATTAAAGTTTACCAGACACTGCGAAACCCATAATGTAGCAGAAGTGAGATCCTTTTCAAGCTCAGACGCCCCCTGCAAGCAATCAGAGGGAATTGGCTTCTTATCGTGACAAGAATAATTGGTAGTATCATCAGTGAACAATGCTACGTTAGATGTGAGAATATCTGGAAGATCGTTATTGTAAATTAAAAAGAGTATAGAGCCAAGGATTGAACCTTGGGGAACCCCTGAGGTTACAAAATAAGAAGAAGAGTGCTGTCCATCAAGGACAACTTTTATACTACGATTGGAAAGAAAGGATTCACTAATCTTAAAGATGTTTCCAGATACACCGTAAGAAGAAAGCTTATGGAAAAGACCAGCATGCCAAACTTTATCAAACGCTTTAGAAATGTCAAAAGCAATGGCCTTAACCTCTCCACCTTTATCTAATGCGCGATAAAACCTATTGGTTATTACTGATTGGAAATCAGTCGTAGAACAAGAAGATCGAAATCTATATTGAAGATCAGAAAGTAGGTTATGAGATTCGAGATTAAGTGTTTGTTTATTAAAGATTCAAAAACCTTGCTTAAGATAGGAAGAAGACTAATGGGACGGTAGTTAGACGATTTGGATCGCTCCCCAGAGTTTTCAAAAATAGGGATAACAGAAGCTGCTTTCCAGCTGCCTGGAAAACAAGACTCTGAGAAGCACTTGTTAAATAGTTTTGAAAGGATAGACGACAGCTATCCTTTCAAAAAAGAAAACACTTCTGCAAGACTATAACAGGTATGTGTCCGGGCCGCAAGCTGTAGAAGAGTCTAAGCGGGAAATCACTTTAGATAGAGAAGCTGGAGTGATACGAATGTCGAGCAATGGATCAACCAGTTTGACGTTTTATATCAGGTAGAACGCAACTTGTGGCATCAAGAGATGATATTGATGAAAGTTCTTGGCAAACAATTCAGCTTTGTCTTTAGGTGAGGTGACAAAGTCTGAACCATACAAAGAGGTGAAATTACAGACTTGCCCTTATTATTGATACTAATAAAGATTCTCCAGAAGTCACGAGAGCCTAATTTTTGTGATGAAATTTTTGTGATGAAAAGATTTCATGATCTGAGAATAGCGGGCTTTAACGTTAGACAAAACCTTTTTACAATGGTTCCTAGCAGTAATAAACAGACGTCTGTTTTCTGGAGAATTGTTTTGCTGATAGATATGGAAGTAATGGTTTCGATAGCAGCATAATGTGAGGAAAACCATGGAGAAGAGTGAGGCTTGACCTGGAATCGTCGAGAAAAAAATAAAGAATTCCATGCCAGCCTTAATCCACGAAGTTAGGTAAGAAGCACTTTGTCAACAGGGAGACGAAAGATTTCTACTCAGGGGCCATGACTAAGAAATTCACGGAAAGAGTCCCAGTCAGCTTTAAGGTAGTTGTAAGATGTACAATGATAGAAGGATTCTGATGGTAAAGAAGAATGAAATAATAGTTTTAGAGAGACCAAACCACAATCAGAAGCACCTAAGGGCGAGTGTGAAGAAACTGAGCACTGACTAGAATCAGAAACAAGACGTAAGTCGAGTAGAGTAGGTAAATGATTCGGGTTGTCTGGAAAGCAAGTTGGAATGTTGACTATTTGAGTAAGGGATTGAGAAAGACAAAAGTTGTGGGCTTTAATGCCTGCAGAGTCACTGACACTAGAGCCAAGCCATTCAGTGTGATGAACATTAATTTCACCGACAACAACAATATTCGCTGATGGATAAAGAATGAGGGTTTGGTCAATATAATCAGAAATAATATTGGTCAATATAATCAGAAACAATTCTAGCAATATAAAACTATCGATTATTTTATCAAATTAAAAATCTTAATCCCTATAACTAATAAAATAAATGTAGTTATGACACATATCATACTTGTGTTATAAATGTTTGAATAAACTAAAGTTCACTTCAATCGATTTTAGCTTTTTTCCCTAATTTTTATTACCTATGTTTCTTAGTTAACTTACCAAAATGCTTTACTTTGTTATAAATAGGTTAAAAAAATTGTTTTGCATATTTTTATAAGCTAATATTATTATGTTTTAGAAAAAGGAACTGTTATTTTTTCTTATATTCTTACCTAACTAAATTCGGCTGACGTTGTCTGTCTAATATATCAAACAATGTCTGGTACATTGATGCGACAAA